TTGCATCTACAGAAGTTGCAGCCTTTAATATTAATGGTGCAATGATTCATTCAACTCTTTTCATACCAATATTCAATGACAAAGTTTGCAACATAGATGGCAATCGGTTAAAGCAACTACAAAAAAAATTAGAAGATGTTAATTATCTTATTATTGACGAGAAAAGTATGGTTGGTAGTAGAATGCTTGCCTTAATTGACTTGCGGTTAAGACAGGCATTTCCAGAAAATAACAATGAACCTTTTGGAGGACGATCTGTTATCTTGTTTGGCAATTTTGGGCAGCTTCCACCAATGCTTGATTTTTCTATGTATGTTAATAAACCATCATGTAAAACATTCTCAAATAATGGTATTACATCATACAAACATTTCTGAGAAGTCTACAAACTTGATATAATACAAAGACAATCAGGAGATTCAGAAGAACAAAAAGCATTTAGAGACTTACTTTTAAGGTTGTAAGATGGAGATTGTAGCATAAACGATTGGGAAAGACTAAGCACACGATTCAAATCAAAACTAAACCATTTAGAGCGTGATTGATTCTTGGATGCAGTATTCATACTAACAAGGTGGTTAGATATCGATAGGGTTAACCTAGAAATGCTTAAGTCTTTAAACAGTCTAGTAGCCAAAATTAACGCTATTCACACTGGAGGTCAGGAGGCCAAATGTGCTAACTCCAACGTAGCAAAAGGACTTGATGCTAGTTGTTGTTGGTGAAAAATGCACGTGTTATGCTAACAGCAAACCTATAGACAAAAGTAGGTTTAGTTAATGGCTCTATAAGAATCGTACAAGATATTCTATTTGAGGAACAGGGACTACCTTTGCTTCCTGTAGCAGTCTTGGTTAAATTCAATGTTTACAACGGACCTAATATAACAAATTTAGGAGGTGACAAAGTTGTTCCAATTGTTCCTATTAAACGTAGTTGGAAAGGTAAAAGTGAAACGTTGTGCTCAAGGTTGCAAATACCTATATGTCTCACGTGGACCATTATAGTGCATAAGAGCCAGGGACTCACATTGCTAAAGGCAAAGATAGATATTGGTAGTAAAGAATTCGCGGCAGGTTTATCATTCGTAGCAGTTTCACAAGTACGTTCTCTAAATGATATTTACTTCATAGCATTCACATTTGATAGGCTTCAACGCATTAAAAGTTGCCAAAGATTATAAGAGAGAAAGTTGGAAGAAGTTAGTTTAAGTACTATGATACCATAAGGATAAAAATAATTTTTTTTTATACTTTTATAAACAATAAAAATATTTTTTAAAAGGGAATTTTTTTTTGTTTGATTGACATTGTATTTGTTTACATTTGTTTATTTACTTAACATTTTTGGTTCACGTGATTTTATTTACTTGACATTTATTTTATATATAGAACCTGCAGTGTAATGCAAGGAACTAATAATCTGCATCGACTTATAATTCAAGCAGGCGGACAACGGGAAATCGATCATTAAAGTGTCTGTTAGTATATAGTCCTTCGCTTCGCTTCGGACTAATAAGAGGTTGTGGATTATTTTTTTTTCATAATGAAATTTTCTTGAGTTTCATTTGTTACTTATGAAGAAGTAATTTATGTATTTGAGTTATTAGTTTAGTTATTAGAAGTGATAAGAATAATATTTTTGATAATATTTTCCAAATTATTTGTAAGAAAAAAAGAGAATTTTTTTTATTTGTTTGAAATTTTAGTATTAAAGGTGTTTGATTTTTTATTTAAGAGATAGAAAAGAAGTATTTTGAATATTTGAAGTAAGGGTGCTATTCTAAACTACTAAAAATTAGTTTCAGTTAAACAAAACTAGTTTCAGTTATTTTAAACTATAGAATCTTAGTTTTAGATAGCAATACTAGTTTAAAGTAAAAAGTTCTGAAATATTATTTTTATTTTGTCAAATTTTTGTTTGTCTAATAATGGTTATATTAAAGTCAAAAAAGAGTTTTTTATAAATATCTGATCACAGGTTGTTAAGGTTATTGAGATAAATTGTTTGAAAATTAAATTAATTCTTTAATTTAATTAGTTAAATATTAGATGTATAATATCACAAAATCATGTAACTTATAATATTACAGTAATTACATTAATTATGATATTATGAAAATTTTTAATAAATGTAATAATTGTAACAATTTAAGTTATTATTACACTTATAATAACTTATTTATTACGTTAAATATCATTAATTATTATGCTTAAACTTCTATTCATCTAATTTTGTATAACATAAATAGTATAGAAAATTATATCACTTTTATGAGTAGAATCAATAAGTATTAACTATCCAAAACTTTGAAGTTTTTTCAATTTGACTTGAAAATATAATAACAAATTTATAAGTAACTTGATTAAGAACTTAATAAAATTCAATATAATATTCTTTATTTCTTAAGAAAAAATGGTTTTTTCTATATCTAATTCAAGATTTGCTTTTTTTTTCAGAATGAATATCTTGTATTTTATAAACTTTTTTTTAATATTAGCAATTTTTCTATGCTTTAATTTCTTTATACTAGTATTAAGATTTAATTTTTCAGTTACAAACTTCTTAATTATAGAAATAATTATAGTAGTAGATAAGGTTGCTTGTCTAAACTCATTTTAGATTTGGCAAAATGGTAAAACCTTTAGTTTTGCTAAATTTTTACTAAGTGTTTGATATAGTTTTGCTATTTTTATAAGCTTTGATATAGTTTTACCTTTTTCCCAATTTCGCAGATTATTTAATAAGGTTTTAATATAATTTAACCAAGTTTTACTTTTACCATTTAGACGTCTGTCTAAACTCTTGATTTTATCCAGCAACCTTAGTAGTAGATAATTTTTTATAATTTTTTGCTTTACTAATTTTACTAATTTTCTTATAGCTTGTGAATACTTTTAATTTTTTACATTCTTCTAAAGTATGTATATAATTAGGATCATTTTGATATTTTTTAATTTGAATTTCTTTTGTAATAAATTGGAATATTTAATTTTTGCAAAATATAAATTAGAAGAATAAATTATTATTTTTCAACATTTTAAACTGAGATTTATTTTTTACATATACTTAATTAATTATGTTTTGTAAAACAGCAAGTAAAACTTTTTCATAAATTACTATTATTAAGATTCTTATAAGCGAATTTTATTTAAATATTTAAAATAAGAAATCATTAATTATTATTAAATTTCTTTAATGATATTTCAAATAGTTAATTAATATTAAAAAGAAGAATGCATTTTTGATTAAAGGTAAATTATATAATACGTTAATTTATTTTTATATAATTTGTAATTTATATATATTTAAAATAACTAAATTAATAATTTTGTTATTTAATAAAAAAATGTTTTAAAATGATAATTAGTAAGCTATTAAAACATATTAAGTCTTTCCAAAAAACCATTGAAAATTTTTTTGTTTATTATATTTTACTTATTATAATAATCTTGTAATAATTGTATTATTGTTACAAATCATGAGATATTAAATTATCTCTAATTATAAGACATAGTAGACTTTATTCACGTTACATTATTATGATTTTCTTTTTTAGTTAACCAATTGAATTTAAGAAATTCTAAATATAAATATTGAATTTCATTGGTAACATTTATTAGTGATAAGCAAGATTTTATTCAATTATACTATTTTCTACTTCTATACTTTTTACTATTATTTATATAGTTAAAATTAGTCTGATTATACTTACTATATTATGTAATAATAATTACTATTATATCAAAATACTTGGAATTACATGTTATAATAATAAATTATAAAATACTTAAATATATTAGAATAATATTTAATTTAATAGTATTTTTATTTTATATTTATATACTAATATTTTTAAAAATAATTTATTTAAATTATTATCTTTAAAAATTAATTAGTTTACTATTTAATATATTAATATAATAATATTTTTAAAGATAAATATTTTATATTAATTAAAAATAGTTTTAAAAATATATTTCCATAAAATAAATATTTTATTATAATAATTTATAATTACTATTTATATTTATAAACTTTTTATATATTTTAACTTTAATTTAAATATAAATTATTACTTAAAACATTCATATTTTTTTAAAAAAATCAAATTATCATCAATTTATAAGTATATTATTATATAATTTACTATATATCTAACTTAATTTTACTGGTTTTATATGATAAAATATTATACAAAATATTTTTTTAATAAAATAATATAATAAAAGAATCCTTTATAATTTTACTAAATCCTTTTTTTATTTATAAATTTAATCTTAAAACCTTTTTTGTTTATTAAATTAAATAAGATAATAAATAACCAAATACTTTATTTTTTTTTATAATATAAATTTAAAAAAAAATCCTTAAAATAATAAATAATTCTTTTTTATATTCAAATAATTTTTTGAATATATTTTTATTTTTAATTTTATTTTCTTTTTTTTAAAAAAAATTTCAAATTGAATAATAAAAAGAAAAAAAAAATGAATGTTTATAAAAATAATAGCAATATAAAAATAATTTTTTTTTTTTTTTTCAAAAGAAATTTTCTAAAGTAAAATAAAAGCAGAAATTGATGCAAAAAAAAAAAAAAAAAAAGGAAAAAAAAAAAAATCCGAAGAAATTGCAATGTTTTTTTTTTAAAAAAAAAAAAATTTCTAAAAAAATAATAAAAAAAAAACAATAAAAAAAAAAAATAAAAAAAAAATAAAAAAAAAAAATTGTGAATATAATTCCATAAAATTCCCAAATATTTATAACCCAGAATTTGCAAATAAGAAACTATAATAACGAATAAAATATAAAATATGCAACATATGAACACGAAGTATAATATAATATTTGCTTTTTTATAATGGGAACAATAATATAATAAGTTGTTCAGAATTAGATCATCAATTCACTAAGTGCTATAATACAAAAAACATCTACACTCTACCATCCCATGATAATTTTCATTAAATCTTTTTCCAAAATAAACAGTATAATACTATCTATCGTGAAGCGGCTATCGCCAAGGGCGGAAAACCACCCATAGAGTTTGAGTTAAGAGAATTTAAAGAGGATGAAGAAGTTGTTGAATGATGAGCATTGTGGTGATTAGGAGTCGTATAATGGTGAATCGTTGAATTTTGCTGCACAGACTTTTGAGCAGTTTTAAAATCATCGATATTCTAGAAACAAAAAAAAGTATTAATTTTAAATCTTTATTTAAAAAGCTTCTAATAAATAAAATTTAAATTGTCACCTTATATTTTTCTAGTATTTTATTTAATTGATCGCATACGTCAACCTTTTTCTCGTCTTTTCTATAATACAAATAGGCCCAGAACTTTTCGAGGCCATAAAGACAATCATTTTCGTAATCATTTAACGTTAACTCTTGAAAATCATCGAATAGGTCTTGGCGATATTTTTTCTCAAGGCCATATGAGTAAAACCGGAATAAACATTCAAGACCATAACGATAATTGGCATTAGCATCTTCAACCGCGAGTTTCTTAAACTCAGAGTACATGCGTTTGTTGAAATGTTCGCGAAGGAAATGAGACCAAAATCTAAAGAGTGTATTCATCTCTTGTGACTGTCCAATTCCTTGTCGTTTGCGTTCTGAAATAACATTGATATTAATAAGGTGTTATCTTAATATTTAAATATAATTCAAAGTCGATTATTAATTAACCTTTCAAAGCCTTGGCATGATATTTATAATACTTGTGTTGAATAAATCCATTCTCTTTAAGCAAGTCGTGACTAGGATGTTGGAAAGGAGGGAATGAGCGTGCTAAATCCATTGAAGAAGATAATTGCTCTGAATTACTAATTGATGATCCATTACTATGGCTATGAGGAGAAGGTGAGTGCGGTGACGTTCCTTCAGGTGGGTGGTAAGGTTGATCACTATATTATTGAAATTTGGTGAAGATTAGCATTATAGCTGTTTGATATAATATGAATCATAATTTAAACATAATATTTATTTACCCAAGCACCCAACCAACAGCATCTTGAGCATAATATTGACGCGTATCAGGTATGTGTTTATGGTTTGTCTTAACACTGGAATTGAGCGGAATTTGTGGTGGAACCCCTTTTACAGGCCAGAAACGCGTTGATTTTTTCTTTCTATAATTAGATAGCCGCATTGGGGAGGGTGGAATTAATGAGATAGTGCTTTATGATAAGATATTATTTATTAAAACGCAATATAACTTTACTAACCTTTTCTTATCTTTTTCAGTTGTGATAACCTTACTCGATAGGTTTGCTCCTGAATTCGAATTCGATGTTCCCTCACGTAATTTGGTCGAGGAAATAATTGAAGTAAATTGTTCCTCGCTAAAACAAATAAAAGTTGTTAATATGTGACGGATATTGATCACAATAATAAAAATAACATTCTACCTAATAATGTCTACTTTACGATTATTAGACGAATTATTTACTCGTCTGAAGTAAAAAATTTCAAACAAGATAAGATATATCTTCTCTAATTATAATTATTATATAATAAACAGTAATACTAACTTTTTGTGTAAGTCATGTTCGTAATGATATAAACCTTCATTAATCATTTCAACAATCTCATCTGGGTTTTTATTATTAAAAAAAAGAGGAGTTATTGTTATGAACAAAATAAATATATTTGATTACTTTTTTTAACAAAAAGAAATCAACGAACCATTCATAGCCTTCCTTTCGAAAGGTACATGACTTTTATCTCTCTTCTTTTGCGTAACAATTAAAATGCTTGCTACAGTATCATCGTCTATTTCTTCGTCATCGTCGTCATCTTCCTCATCCGATGTGGCATAATATTTTTGAACTGTATTATTCCTTGAATCACCAGTCCATTCTTCATCAAACTGAAAAACTTCTTCATCAGTAGAAATTGTTGTAACAGTTTGCTTTAGCAATACATGAGGTAAAGTCGGTGATGATAATGTACGACGCTTTTTTGTTTGAAGAATCCAAGGATTACTAGTGGGATTGCCCTCAGAATTGTCCTCTGGAATAGTCGGCATATCCTGATTTTCCTTGTTTTCATCCTCGTCCTGTAATAAATTGCTTACTTCTTTAACGTTTGAAGATTCCGTTATCGTTTGTTCTAGAGCGAGCTCTTTTTCTCCATTCTGAGGAAGATCTCGCTTAAAACATTGATAAAAGTCAATAAAACTCCGGATGGTTTCTGCAGTATAAGTAATTACGCTTACTTGTTTTGGTAAGAGCCAAAATTCCCAACCTTCTCGTTTTCTAACCTTGTCTCCGTTAACCTCGACAATATAACTCATGAGAAGAGCCTAAATCCAAAATAAATCTGAATTAACTAACTATAAACAACAGAATAATTGACATAAAGCTGTCGAAAGGAAAGGTTACCTCACGAACAAATGCTTCATCCAATGTTAAAGCTTTAACACGGTTGAAACCAGCTAACAAGGAAATAGGAACATAACCCTCAGAATCCATCTATGAATAGATAAAAATTATTTATTTATCTTCTAGTATAATGATTAGATATTGTGAAACTACTTACATTATTTCGTAAATATATATCTTTGCAAAGATTTTCAAGGCTGAAATAATATTCTCTACATATACAATCAATAATCATTAGATTCTTGTATCACATTTTATTGGTTTAAAAACTTGACAACCATACAAAGCATACATTTGTTGTAAAATACAAAATTTTAAGACTTCGACATCATAAACAACGCCAATTTTCGATCCATATAAATTGTTATAATGATGGCCATGATGACTTTGGTGACTATGTTGACCATGTTGACTATGTTGACTATGGTTATGATGTCCGTACCCTGTTGAGTATGAAATTGTTGCTGATCGTGGGTGACTACGTGCATTATAACGACCTAAATTGTGAAAATTTTATGATTATGTGTTGGTCTTAATTTAGTTACTGGATGCAATAATTTTTGAGGGGCTACAAGGGCTGCAACAATTTGCAGCATAGTGTTGTAAACTCGGAGCAATTGCAAGCAAGCAACTATAAAATAAATAGCATGATAACATATTCTAACCTCTTCCTCTTCGTCCACGATAATGAGGCCCAGCATTAATATGGTGACCAATTTGTCCACTATTATCATTTTGTTGCGAATAATGACGTGTATATTCCCTTGTTGGTGGGGGCACACTAGCACGACGTCTATTAGGACTAGGATTTCTAGGAGGTGGATTGCTAGGTTCAACTTCGGAATTATTATTAGGTTTATCATTTGATCTTTGTTGTTCTCGTAGACCAATGTGATCCTCACTACGACGACGAGCTTTCGACCGTTCATGACCAGGTAATGGAGTATTATGAGTAATAGTTACTTTGTATGGCATCCATTTACCTTTACCTATAGCAATTATAATATGAGCATTGTAATATAAAACATAAAAAGATGATTATAAAATATCAAAAAAAAAAAACCTTTTTTAGTATTATCTTCTTTTTTGATATTTGACTCATTAGACTGTTTCTTTTCCGATGAATCATTTGTTTCCTTTTCTTTGTCTTTAATCAAGACTTCAGCAGGAGCAGGCCAAATTGTTTGATCCTCCAATGGTGGTAGCATTGGCAGAGATTTTGGTTTTCTTGATTCTTTCTTATTATACCTCCTAGAATCTTCTTAATTTTGACCCCAAAAGAAAAAAAAAATTATTATTATTATTATTATAATTAATCTATGAACTTTTTTAAAATTTATTTGATTTCTTAATCTGTAGGTTAAAACAATAATTCTCTGAATTATTACCATAATGAACTGATGATATGAAAATATAATTTTTTTAATTATTCTTTTTTTTTTTTTTCAAATTAAAATCAAAAAATAAAATAAAATAAAATAAAGTAAAATCTCTCGGAAATCATCATTCTCATAATTCGTAGATTAACTTAAAGTTTAAAGCAACATCGAATATTAAAGTTCATTTTATGATCTTCAAAGATTGATTTCTATTTTTTAACGTACCATCTAAAGGTTCATGATCATTATCCTGATTATCTGTTCTTTTGTGAGTATCAATCAGTACTTCTTTTTCTTTGTCATTAGAAACGGCGACATTTTTGGCATATATAGCCTCCTTCCTTACTTGCCATACGTTTACAGCTGGTATGGGAGCAGGAGGAGGTATTATTTTTTTTGGTGCTTCATTTTCTTGATTCTCCTCATTATGCTGTAAGGCTTCTTTAGCCTGTTCTGGTAACTTTTGTTGAACAGAAGATCGGACCGTATTCGACCAATTAGTCTCTAATTCATCTTTAATTTTTGTGCCAGTAGGCTTGATCAGATTAACATTTCTAACGCTAGTACTAGCGAGATTACTATCTGGCTGCGCAGTTGCTGGACTAACCATGGCTTATAAAATATATATATTGAAACAAGCACGTAAGAAAAGTAAAGGAAAAAGTTTTTTTTGGTGTTGATCAGAAGAAGGAAAGGCACCAAAGTTGAAGAGCGAACCAAAAAAGGTTCAATAAGTAAAGAAAAAAATTTTTTTTTTGGTTTTAACTAGGAAACTCTGCGGACAGTTTTTCACAAATGAACAACAAAAGGTTGTTCGCCGCGTGAGCAACTGTGTTTGCCGAAAAAAAAAATTTTTTTTCTTGGTCGTTAAAAGTGAGGCAGCGAAAACTCCTCAAAGGTGCAACAGTATGCAAAGAAAAAAAAGGTGTCTAACTCAGCCAACAACACCCGTTTATACTACGTTAGCTAAGCTAAAAAAATCGATATTTTGGATTCACCCCCTTTAAGAAATATTATATAGTATACGTGATACGTGGCGAAAAAAAAGGATTGGGATATGAATAGCATATTACTAAATGATTAAAAATTTTTTTCAACATACATTAGACCAATCATTATAATGCATTTCATCGCATTTTTGCTGTGCATCATCAGTAAAACAAACAGGTCAAACTAATACGCTTTTCGATATGATCTGAAGTTAAAAAGTTCTGCCGAATTGATCTTGGTCAAAATATTTATTGAAATCTGAAGCAAAAAAAAACCGGACCTGTGTCCTGAAGGGAAAAACCACCCAAAAAAAAGACTCCGATAGCACCCGGCTAATTTTTTTTTTGATGTTACCCCTTTGAGTCACAACAACAAATAAGAAAAAAAAGTGATATTGAAAAATGACATCCCATCGTACAAGATCTTCGCGCTGACGATAATTTCTCAAGTTCTGATTAAAAAAAAAATTTCCGTAAAAAGCCATGAAAAAAATTTTTTTTTTAATTCTTTAAAAGCTTCCAACATTCGATATTTAGTTCCAAACTTTTTTTTTTTAAAAAAAAAAATCTTTTAAATGATGATAGACGATCGTTTTATAGATAGATGATGATACATTAGGAATTATATTAGATGTGATCAACTCCTGCGGTAATTTGAAATAATATCCTGATTTATATACGGGTGCTGATTTTAAAAATTACTCTTTTTAATGTAGACGCCACGAATATCCTTAAGATGGGATTAAACATTGTATGCAAATAATTTGTAGGACGGCATTTCATTAGAGTACGATGTAAAAGAATATGAATAAAAGAAAGGCACTCTGACACAATAACTTATCAAATCCAGTATTGTTGAGTTTAAAATGAGAGAATATATTGGAGATGAAAAAAATTTTTTTTTCAGGAATTAGTCATCAATAATTTGCCGCGTAATGCATGTAATTTTCGCTCGATCACATGACTTATAGAAAAGAACACGTGTATATATTATCATTCGTAAACTCTTTACCTATCTAATTTTGGTTAATATTTATACTATCATATTTGATTATATTTTTCCCAAGTTAAATAATTATTATTTGTTTCATATGTACCTTTCACAAATAACTAATAAATAACCAAATTTAGTTAGAATTTAGATTTACAAATCCAGATTAGATGATTTATTTAAATCAAGATTTAAAAAATAAAAAAATTTTTTAAAATACATAATTTATACAATTATATTAAATTAGTAATCTGTTTAAAATTTAGTTTATATTTCTTATTATATAATAGTAATAAATAATATTATGCATTTATGCTTAATTTAAATGGTTTTAATTAAAAAATTATACTTTTTAAAACTTTTTAATAATTCTAAATATATAAAAAAATATCTAAATTTAATTATTAATAATATTTTAAATTTTATTAAAATTTGCATATATTTTAAAATAAGAAACCATATTATCTTTCTTATAATAATACATATAATAAAATTTTATATTAAAATTTTTATAAACTAATAATATAGTATAATATATTATTTGATAAAATTTTATTTATTATAAAAAATTTTTAATCTGAACTTATTTTATTAAAAATTAATATTTAATATTTAATTATATATATTTGAAATGTTAAACAATTTATTTACTATATTTATACTTATTTTAATAGTAAATAATTTAGTTTATAATATTTATAATATTATAATATTATTATTTTTAATAAGTAAAATTAAGTATTTATAAAGTAATTTTTATATTTTAATATTATAATAGAACTTATAAAATATATTGTATGTATATCATGTATAATGTAGCTAATTATAATAAATTAATCTTAATTAATATCAACTTTAATTCTAAATTATAAGTAAATTAACTTTAATTTATCTAATCCTAATATTATATCACAAGGTAAAAATAGTATCTATTATAAATAATGAGTGATAAATAGGATTTTATATCCTAAAAAAAAATAAGTTTTCAAATTAAATAACAAAAAATAAAATATGATATATGTGATATAGTGTAATAGCTTATTATATAAGTCTAGATATAAGTATATCAAATAAATTTTTTTTTTAATTATATTAAATTAATTATAATATAATTAATTATAAAATTATAAATTATTATAAAATATTAATAATACCTATCTAAATTCTTTTTTTAAAAAAAATAATTTTATTAAAAGAATTTGCCTTTTAATATTTATATATAAATAAATATAAATTTATTATCAGTCATAGAATATGTCCCTTCAGATGATCTTAATAGTAAATCGATTTTGTGTAATATATAACACTATGACTTTCTTGTAAAAATGCTTCGATTAGCTTATAACAAATAACATTTTGACTTTAGACAAGATTTATTTTTAAAGTCTTATATTGTCATTCTATATTGAAATTATATGTATTAATTAGCTTTATTTTAAGTAAAATTTGACTTGAAAAATGCCATTTTTTAGCATATATATTGAGATTCTCCTTCAAATATTTCAGTTTAAGTCAGCTTCTTTTTGTCAAAGACATTAAATAAAAAATACTATAAAATATATTATTGTTATATAGACATTTTATCTGTGACTTTTAGATTTTTGATTAGAAACATTCTTTAATAAGATAGGATAAGGATTTCAATTAAAAAATCTTCTCTTTCTTTAGGCTTCTAGAGTTAATTCAAAAAAATTGGAATATTAGGATAAAATTCTTGAAAAGATCAAGGTAAAAATCCAGAACCTTAATTATGAAAAGTTCTATTTTTAGACATCTTGAATTTCAGGTTTTATAAAGATAAAATCACGGTTTAGTGAAACTTTTTTTCAAAATCTGAATGTTTTTCCTAATGAATTTTTTAAGTCTGAAATTATTTAAATTCTAATTTTTGTAAATTAAAATAGAACATTAAATGGAAATTCAGATAATATTAAGACATAGTATGAAAAAACCTTAAAATGCGTGAGATTGTATCACTGCTTTAACTTTATTTTTACTAATTGTATTTTATACATTATGCATATTAATAAAAATTACCTTGCAACAGTTATTCCTTCAATATTATTTAACTCTTTCGGCTGTCCAGTTTGATGAAACAGTTTGAATTTTAGATAACACTTTTGAGTTTGCGATTTCAGGTAATTCTTTTTCAAATTCAAATAATTTAATAAGTATAGCTTTTTCTGCATTTGTAGTAATATGACGTATCTTTCTTAGATGATCAGTTTCAGAAGATAATAACACCTGTTATAATCCTAATGAAGTATGCTGTTGAACAGTTGATACTTGTGTATAGTTACTTATTTAGCTATCTTTTTGTTTCTTCATATTCTCAAGTTGAGTGTAAGTATAATCTCGTGAATGACATCCAGTAGCTACTCGGGTTTTAGTTTTGTATACATCCTGCAAAAGAACTTGTTTAAAGTGTGATTTGCCAGATTCATAAAAGAAGAGAATATTATTAATACCCTTCTCATTGATTTCCAGAACATTTCAAACAGATAGTGTATTGTGAGATTTGGATGATCAAAAGCAGATAATAACTTTACAACTAAGTCCTAAAGTAAATCTTTGCATGATTTAATTGCATGAGAATTATGGTTTGTTACAATATCATTAGTACAGTTAAACCTTGATATAGCGAATTCTTAATATATTAAAATTATCTTACTATAGTGAACTAGCCAATTAAATTCTTTAAAAAATTCGTTATAAGCTTATAACAAAGTTAATATCCAGATCCTTGAATTCGTTATATCAAGAGTTTACTGTATATTCTACAAGAAGAAAAGATAAGTGATTCCTTTCATTTTGAGCTACTTTAACCTTTAATATCATAGTCTGCTAGTCAGTAAGATTTCTGATAATATTTTCCTTTATGAACTTTATCCATATGTTTCAAATGCTTCATCAAAGGCTAAATAATGTCCTTCTCTTGCAAGATTTACCGAGTATACTATTTGTAACAGTTTCTGAAACTGTAGGTCATTATGAACTTGATTTAAAAATGTGTTACAGAACTTGTATACTTATACTTTTCAGCTGCAGAGAAACGAGATGCAAATGCAACCAAATTTGACGTTTGCATCCTATAATTTCCTCTCCTAATTCCAATTTTATGACCTATGAAGTATCCTGTCTAACGAAAAAAAGGTATTATATCTTTATGAATAGATTATTACCTCCTAAAATATTATCCATAGTTTCCTTTTTGCTTTTTATATATTGACATAATGCAATTCTGACTGCAATCTAAATTAATTTTAATACACAATATGTCACCCAGTAATCAATAATACGTTCAAGTTTATCTAAGTATCATACACTAAGGGTTGCTACAAGGTTGAATATTTCATATCCTGAGAATATTGCAATTAAAGTGCTGCACATATCTTTAGATATATGTCACTGTCCTAAAAGAAGCAAAACATCTTCATAAATTTTCTTATAGGATATTAATTTTCTAAAAATCATTTAATCACATGCTATCTATAGACAGCCACTTTGATGTAAGTCATCAAGATATATTTCACAACGTTTTTATTGCAATTTAGTGAATCATCAGATTTCAATATTATTATATTTGACGGTAAAATATTACAACCTGTATGTACTTGCTCAATAATTTTCAAGTGTATATCTTTCATATTATATTCATTTGCACAAGTTTCTAACATTGTATTTAATATATTTTATACATTATTAAAAGATTATCAGTAAATCGAGACTCTCCAAACAGTGATTGATTAATAGATTTATGATCTTTGATTAGGTCATTAAGAGAGATTGGAATAATAAATTGAAATACCATTCGTAATGTTACATACGATGTTTGTCATGTAACATCAAAAATATTACTATATGAGAATATAGAAGCTTTAAAATTGATGTTATCAATTACCACTAAATTCTAAATATTTAGTTTTTCAATTAAATTCTCCCTAGGATTTTTGTATGAAGCATTCTAAATTTTTCAAGCTGATTTTTATGCCGTTTAGTATAGAATATAATACATGCAGAATAAAGAATCTCTCGTAAGTATAGCAATAGTTTTAGCTTCTAGCATATTGATGATATAATATGTGAAAGCCAGATTTTCATTCCAAAAGCAATAGTTAGTATCATGAAGGTTAATAAGACAGTTGTTTTTGATATTTGATTTGTATTGATTGATTTCGGATGAAGTTCCCATTAGTATCTTTTTTTATTAATAATATTTTGTTTTTGTTGTTGTAGTATTATAATGAATACATGAAAAAAACTACAAATGATTTTAGGCAATATATCAAAGTAGCTTTCATATGAGTTTAAATTTTCTAATTGGCCAATATTTTGTTGAATTTCAAAATGCGAAAATAAGACCTCTATTCCTAATTTATCTTTCATTTTCAAAGCTTTTTCTAAAATTACTATGTGAGTCCTTTCATTTATTAACTTATTTAGTTCAACTTTTCCCAATTTCAATGCTGTTCTAATGAATAACTTGCTTAAAAGCTTTGATGCTTCCATTTTCAATAGATTTTTTTCTATCACTTCATTATTAAAAATAGTCAATGTACAAGTTATTAGAGATAGGAGTTTTTTTTGTAACTGATTGTCACCTGACTCTGCTACTAATATTATTCACATTCCAATATGTTTTAGAGTATTACCTGTATCATCACAATGTTTTTCATATTCGATACATGATATATATTTTTGGCCTTTATCTGATTTTTTTATTACAGAAATACAGAACTGAAAATGGACGATATTCTTTTAATTGAACGTGATTGCTTCATGCCTTTATCATGAAGTTAATTCTGATCAAAAAGAAAATGATTATAATATACTTCAAGCTGATAAAGATCACTCTTAATATTTTCAACTACATCTATATCTATCTCCCATGTTCCTATCATTTGTTCCAATCGTCGAAGATTTGTTATACCATTATAACATTTTATTTCACCTTGAATAGCATTCATAACTAAACATGGTGTTAGGGTCAGACTTTGTACAGAAGTCTTTTCAATTTTATATCTATGTCATCGTTTATTGTTTGAAAGGAATTATTATAGTCAGAAATTTTAGGTTTTTCAAGTTCAACCTCACTCCAATCTACATTGTCATTTTCATCACTATTTAATAGGGTTCGAGTACTTGCAAGAGCAATTTGATTAATATCATTTTCATTTCTTTCTTCAGAAGTGCTAGTATTATATTCCTCAAAATCCATAAGAGTAAATTCTGAATCACATATTTTTGTTTTGAATTATTTAAGATTTATGAATTTATTATAATAATATATAATAAATCATACAAGAAGAATTTAGAAAAGAGTTGGCATCTTTATTAACGTTCAAGGAAGGGCAAGCAAAAAGCTAAGTATATTTATCTGTTATACTATTTAAAATTTATTTATTTCTAACAGCTAATGGTCTTCTCATTAAAAATATCAGTGATAGGGTAAAGCTGATCTGAAGGTTGCTGAAATGATATATCAAATATCTGTTAATTATTGAATTAATGATATAAGGTTCAATTCAATAATGTCAAATTATTAATATTAACTGATAATTCTCCCCAAGTTTTATATCTGAATCCAGTTTACTAGCTAAAATTCCATATTTGATATTACTAATTGATGTTAAATTCCTGGAACATTGATCATCTGAGCCCAGTTTATTAGTTAAATTTCATATAGAATGTGAAAAATCATAATGGATTCAGCTTAGTAATCAATTAGCCCATAATACACATACAAACAAAGCATAGGTTTTTATTGTGAAGAACAAAAAGAGGTGAAACATTATTTTATTTTTATTTATGACTTTAACAAATTACATCACTAATTTATATTATTATTTTTATTATAGAATTAGGTCTTGAGTTGGGTAACAGCTTATTTCTAAGATTCAGTAATTCCAAGTTATCTTAAGGCTATATAATAAATTAGTTGGCTAACTGGTTAATCGTATAATAATTTGCTTTATCTAACATTAATTCCCTATAATTGATATTTACCTTGTCAATAAAATATTTTCCTTTATATTTATATTAATTTAAAAAAATTTTTTAAAAGTTAGTGTTAACTTATCAATTGTACTTTCAACTTGAATTATTAAATGGATTAGACAAATGCAATTTTTCAGAAGAAATCAATAAGTGAAGGGATAATATAAGTATAAATGTTCAAAGAAAGTCATTAAAGAGTAATAAAAATTATATATTATAAGATTAGAACATAAATTTCAAGTGGAGATTCTCTTTAAACTAAAAATAATAATGAAAGGTATGACTTTTGCAATATAATAAAAAAATGTCACTAATATATTTTTATTAGATATTAATAGATAATCAATTTCACAAATATGCGATCATCATAGAAAAAACCTTTATGAATGAAAAATTTTCATATAAAATTTAAGTGATCGACATTTAAATTACCCTATAAATAACATTTTGAACCTGTATATAAAAGACATGTCCTATGACTGTTATAGTTTTTAATATATTTTAATTCAAAAAATTCAAATGTAATTAAATATAATTTTATTAATTAAGTAAAATAGTTTTATCATATAAAAACTGGTTTGTTATTTTAATTATATCAGTTTTGTTATATTGAATGTAATTTTAATAAATATTACTAATATTACTAATTATATATTATATTTATAATTATATTATCTTTAATCATAATACTTATTTATTTTAATTTTATACGTATTTGTTATATTTCTAAAATATTCTATAATATAATTTTCAGTAAATTTAATATTATATAAACTTATATTTTGTAATATTATAAAAACTTATGAGACTATCATAAGATTATGTAATTTGTATTTTTATAATATTCTATAATTTTACAATGTAATATTACATAAGTATTATGAGTATATAACTATGCAAAGTTTACGATGTAGTACTTTATAATATTACATTGTAATATTACGTAAAACTTACAATAATAAAAAATTTTGAAATTTTACAAAAATTTATACTATGAATTCATTTATAATATTTTATATCTTTCGATAAAATGTAATTTAAAACTTTCAGTCATATAATAATTTGTAAATTTATTAAGTTTAATATATTTAAATTTATTTATATATAAATTATGCTTATTTAAAATATTTTAAAAATAAATTATAAATAATATAAATTAAAATATAAAAAAAAATATTACAAAAAAGTAGCATATATTATCATAGCAATAAATTTAAAATTTGGTTAAATAATGAATATATTTTTAAAAAAAAGATTAAGAAATAAAGAAAATAAATTGATGCTTTAAAAAATTCATATGAAAGTAAAAAAAATGAGTAGAATAGAAAAGTAAAAGAGAAACATTTAATAGAATATAAAAGTAAAAAGAGAAAAAGTTAGTATATTAGAGATAGTAAAAAAAAAAAGGTTAGTAGGATAGAGAAATCAAAAGAAAGAAAATTAGTAGAGAAATCAAAAGAGAGATAGTTAGTAAAGAAATTAAAAGAAAGATAGTTAGTAGAGAAGCAAAAAAAGAAAAAAAATAAAGAAAAAAAGTGTAGAAAAAAAAAAAAATACAGTAAGTATTTGTTAATATTAATATTAAGATAAAGAGATTTTATATCAACTGAATAACTTTTGTTGAGAAATAAAAAGGATTTTTTGTTTATTTTTTTTATTATATAGGTAATGTTAGTTAAAAAGCAGGAATCTACTTTTCAATCAAATTTGAGTTTTTTGACTTATATAATATAAATTAATTATATTGAAGATTTGCTAAAAAAATGGAGTTCTAAGTATTTTTTATTAAATTTTAATTTTTATTGCATTTAAATCTAATATTATCAAAAATTAAAATGCAACAAAAATTAAAATTTTAATAAAAAATGCTTAGAGCCCATTTTCCTAAAAAACCTCCTATATGCTTCTTTTTTATTAATTCTAATAAACATAATAATTTTTGAGATAATATCAAAAAAACTAAAAATATGCATGTTATTAATCATTTGAAATTATCTGGTGAGAAGATAATACAGTAACAGATATGCTTTGAATCTCAAAAGAAGAGTTAAAATACAAAATGATGAATATTTTTCGAAATTTTCTGCTAATCAAATAAATGTTTAGCCACCCAATTTTCAATTTTTCCCTTTTTAACTGACCAATAAAATTTTTTTTTGCAAAACTCTTAAAAAAATGATAAAAAATCTTTTTATTAATACAAATACTAAACTTTATAAATTAAATATTACAAATATGCCTTAGAATAATTACAAGATGAATATAAAGCTAATATTGATTATGATAATATTGATAATATCAGTAATAAAGATTATGAAGAGAAAATTTCACTTGTTAATGATGACTATAATAATAATACAGTTTAATCAATTTTTTTGATATTCAAATCACAGAATTTTGACAAATTTAAAATAAATGTTTATTAAATGATAAAGAAAGTAAAATATCTGATGTTTAAAAAGAATTTAATGATAAATTAACAGAACAAGATTTTGAGATATTTCAAAAAAAAACTTGAGAGTTCTCAATTATTTCAAAAATTAGATAAAATTTAGCAGAATATGATTATATTAGGAATACTTAATAGCAATATTTGAATAAATAAGACTAAAAAAATACAAACAAAATGTATTCAACTAGTGAATATTATTTTGAAAGAATTAAAATATGCATGAAGGCTTTTTTAATGATTTATAAGATTAGAAGTAATACGAAAACATTTTAGTAAAAATGATATTTGCTTTAATTACACATAGTTTAACTAATACAAGAAGTAATAATTTTTTATATCCTTTGATACAGTTTTAAATTTTTTAACATTTATAAACAATTACGCAAACAATTATAAACTTTTGTCATTAGATGCTTTTTTACCAAAATTTTTTTTTAAAAAAAATAATTAATATTTCTTTATTAAACTATCATTTTAGGAGTAAACTACTGCAATTAATTATTTACCAACAAGCAAAAATCATATTTCACTTTGGTGATTATATATTAATATTATAGAAAATAATACTAATACATATGAACATATAATAAGTATTTGAACATTTTGCTGAATTTAAAAAAATACATTTCAGGTATAAAGTTTATATCATTGCATAATGATTTATGTTTCAAGTACAAAACTACAGTCAACCCTTGATATAACGAATTTTATGTCCTGAACTTCAACTTCGCTATAGAGCTATAGTGAATTTT